CACACAGGCACTATAGAGATGGATGGAATTCTCAAAGGACCACTTGTTCACTTCCAGGGAGCCTGCAAATAAACACTGCCTTTCAAAAGGGAAGCTACAATATATACCTGTAATTTTAAAAATGTTCCTACCCTTTGACACTGAAGTTTCACTTTCAGAAATTTACCATAAGAAAACAACCAGTACTACAAAAAACGACTTATGTTCAAGGATGGTCACCATAGTGTTTTTTTAAAATTTAAAAGCATCATAAATATGCAACAATAGGAGAATTGCTAAATAAAGCAGAGGACATTCATACAATAGACTACTGCTTAGCCATTAATAATTGTGTTTTCAAAGAATACATGATGGCATGGGAGATGATCACAATAAAATACTGACAGGATGTAAACTTATATATGACTTCATACAAATTTTCTAAATAGGCATATGTATGAATTAAAACATTAGATTAAAATTCACCAAAATGTAATTTTGATCATTATGAGTGGTAAGATAATGGATAATTTTTATTTTCTTCTTTTAGTTTCCCATATTTTCCATATCTTATTAGTGAACATGCATTGGTTTTGTAATCAGGCAAAAGTTAATTTAACAAAATAAGTAAATAATGTAGATCATAATCCTATGTATAAACAGAGTTTAACCTACGAAAATATATGAGTAGCTGAAAGAGAAATTTCTGTTTTTTGCAACAAAGATGGAGCAATTCTAAGTAATCATGACCTCACTGACATTAGCATTGTGTTGGTGGTATCACCTAAGATTCAGGACCTAATTATGTTCTACCTGTTCCCTCATCACCTAGGATAAAAGCAATTAAGAGGGGGAAAAAATCTCTTATTCCAATGCAATCTGACATGCAACCAAGACACAACAGATGGATTTCCATAAAGATAGTCATGTTACATTTAGTGACATCCCTTTCCGTTTTTATTCTTTTGAAAATTTTCAATATAATTCACCCAGAATCTTAACTGTCAGAAAACTCAAATAACCAGATTTTTCCTTAGGATTATGCATTGATCATTACTTTTCCTAAGAATCCCCTAAGGTTGTTAACTATTTAGATACTTGTTATTATACCAAGATTTATATAGTGTTCAGAGTTGTTATTTTTCCTCTTCTAATTCTATAAAAATAATAATAATAATTCATGATGATATAATAGACATAATTATCCAAAATGTTCAATTAACCAGAGACCTGCATTGTCTAACAATCCCACATGAAATAGATTTTCAAAACTCATCATTTAATTATTATAGCAGCCATTTGTTAAATGTAGAAACAGCAAGTATATTATTCTCACAGAAAAGTTATGCTACCTGCACACGTGCAGCAGAATGGAATTGGAACACATTCATCCATGCCAACTAGTTTCCCTTTAAATTCATGACATTTACAAGTGTTAACTTCAATCCTGCCCTTCATACTGTCCTGCAATCATACTGCATTTCCCTAGTCCACTTACTATCCTATTCTCCCAGATAATGATTTCATATTTTCTCCTCTCTCCTCTAACTTCCAACATCTTCTCCGCTATCTTCACTTGCAGTTCTTGACCCTGAGTGCTATTTCAATAAGAAAATAGAAACAGTCATAAAAGAACTTCCACAGGCCTCCACAACACCTCCACCCTCTTACCAGCATCTGTGCCCATATATGCCACCTTCCCTCCTGTTACCAGAGATGAACTGTCCATATTCCTATCTAAATCTGAAATCTACATTTTTTTGCTAAATCCTAACTCTTTCTCTCTCCTGCATCATTTTCTTTTTTCCTCTCTGCTGGATCATTCCATCAGCATACAAACATGTAGTTATTTCTCTTATCTATGTTGTCCTTCAGCTACAAGTTCATTTTTCCATTCTTCCTTGCAACAATTCCTCTGAAGAGATATCTATGTCCACATCTCTAAACTCTGCCCTCCCATTCTCTCCAGAACCCCCTGCTCTCCACCAACAGCATCTATATTGCTAAATCCATTGAGCAATTCCCTAATTTGGCCCTTCAGTAATGTTTTCACACCATTGTTCACTCTCTCCTTCTTGAAATACTTTATAAAATTGGTTTCCAGGATAAGACACTCTCTTGATTTTCCTCCAGCTCCCCAGTCTTTTTTGCTTACTTATTTTTTGCTCACTTTTTTGTCCCCTTATTTCACCAAACTTCTAACTCTGGTTGCCCCAGACCCAGTCATTGGCCCAATTCTTTTTTACATAACTTTTTGTTCCCTGTGATTTCATTTGTCCTCAGTGCTTTAAATTCAATCTATATACTTACTACTCCTAAATATCTATCTCCAGCCAAGACTTCTCTCCTGATTTCAGACCTGCATGTCCAACTGCATACTCAACATCTCTACTTAGACAGCTAATAGGATTTTTTAACTTAACTCTTAGTCTCCCTTATAAAAGACTAGCTCTTCACTCAGTTTTTTGTTTGTTTGTTTGTTTGTTTGTTTTGCTTGGACTAAAAACCTTAGGGGAGCTCCGGTGGCATAGTACCTAAGAGTCAACTTGGTTCCTTTCTTTCTCTCACACCTTATAGCTGAAATATCAGCAAAATCTATTGGCTCTACCTTCAACAAGTGTCTAATATCTAATCCACTGCTTCCTCCCTCTCTCAAATCATCCTCACCTGTCTCCTGGATTATTTTAGAAGCCTCCTGACTACTCTCCTTTGCTCCCTTATGATCCACTCTCACAGCAGCCAGGGTGAAAAGTTTTACAATGGCCATAAGGCCATACACAACTTATCTCCCCACAAAGTTTACCTCTGTGCCTTCATTTCCTATGATTCTCTCCATCACACACTCAGCTCCAGACACACTGGCTTCCCTGTGTTTCCTCCAACACATCAGGGACATTCTCTCCTCAAGATCTTAAAACTTGATACTCCCTTGGCTCTTCCCCCAGCTATCTCTGTGAGTCATTCCCTCACCCTCTTCAGGTCTTTGTACAAATGTCACCTCTGTGAGCCTTTCCTGACCATCCTATTTAAAATTTCAACTCACCTCCTCCCCTGGTATACACTATCTCTCTTGCCTGCTTTACTTTTCCTTTTAGTGCTTAATCATCAGTTGCCACATTGCATGTTTTATTTATTTATTTTTTGTTGTTTATTGTCCTCTCCCACTGTAATATATGTTTCATAAAGGCAAGGATTTATGTCTGGTTTTTTCATGGCAGTATCCCCTGTGCCTGGAACAGTGCCTGGCACATAGTAGGCTCTCGGAAAATATTTCTTTAAAGAAATTGAATGAATGAATGAACCATCTACTGGTGTTCCTAGCAGAGAAATCAGGTTTGGGCCCTGAACAGGGGCCTTCGCACATGCTGTTCTGTCTAGAAAACGTTTTCCCCTCCTCCACCTTGCTCTTTCTCTGATTAATTCCTATATACTCCTGCCTGAAGTCTCAGCTTAAATGTCAGTTCCTGAGAGAAATCTTTCCTGACTTGCAGGATCATAAGCACTTATAACCCTGCTATTTATTTCCTCTAACATTATAAGCACTTGACTGCTAATCAAAAGACTGGCGGTTCAAACCCACCAGCCACTCCTCGGAAGGAAGATGGAGCAATCTACTTCCGTAGTGGTACTGCCTGGGAAACGCAAGGAGGGGTCGCTATGAGTCGGGTACAACTTGACGGCACATAACAACAACAATCATTACAGGAGAAGCTCTGGTAGCATAGTGCCTAAAGCATTTGACTGCTAACCAGAAGGCTGGCAGTTCAAATCTACCAGCTACTCCTCAGAAAGAAAATTGGGCAATCTACTTCCATAGTGATACTGCCTCAGAAACCCAAGGAGGGCTGACTCAACTGCAGTGCGTTTGTTTTTTTGGTTTGATCATTGCCAGGGTTTGCATTGCTCCTGTAAATATGTGAAAAGAAAAACCTTTCAGCTGCTTCTGCAAGATAGTCTGTCCATCTACTGCCGAGCAAGTGGGAGGAGGCCAAGGAGCCAAGGAATTGGATTTTCTTCACATCCAATTCTCGTCAGCCAAACATCTGATCCTGGGATTGGAGAATTGAGCTGATAAAACATAAGATAAGAATTTCAAAAATGCATAAATTTTATAATCAATTGTAATAGTACCACTCTATATATTGCCAAGAAGAACTTTAGCACAAACCAAGATCTCTAACCACTTTTTTGTGGAGAAGAGGTTAATATCATTTTCTTGGCTCTCTTCCAGATTGAGTATATACTATCTGTCTGCAAGTTTGAAAAGATTATTGTTGTCTCCTTCCTTTCCTTTCATGGGCCATTTTTGAGCACAGAAGAATGGTTTGTAGACCGTGTAAGTAATAAATAGCTCATACCACATAGCACTGCACATAAGAAATAATGGTGATTCATAGTGGCTGTAAAGTCGTATTTAAAAATGGGTGTGTGTGTGTGTGTGTGTGCTTGTGTATGTATGTGTTTTACTTTTTCATCTCAATTCTTACTAAATGGAGTACCACGTGATTTTCCCATATAACAAAACCTTACTGCCTCAAGTACTCAAACATTAATATTTTAACATAATCACTTTTAATGGAAATGTTTACAGAATGTAACAGTGTTCTACATTTTTACACTAAATATACTAAACTTTAAACATTGATGATTCCAGATTATTTTTATTGTTCCCAAAGGTTGTTTTGTATTTTATAAGACAACACAGTGCTATAGAAAGACTACTGGATTAGAAATCAGGACTTCATCAAGTTCCTTAACCTCCCTGAGATTTCTCATCTGTTTCTTCATCTGTTCAATGGGAATAATAACATCTGCTGTGGATTTCTTACTGTTTATGATATATTAAATTCTGTAACACATGCAAATCTTATCAATCAACTATTGAATATAAGAATGCACGTACTAACTGATGTACAACCAAACACCTCATGGAATTTTTTTTTTTTTTTTTTTTGGTTTGGAGGCTTATAGTCATAATCTCATGGGACATCTCAGTCAATTGGTCTAATACTGTTTTTCTTTTTGTAAAAATATTTTGTTTATTTTAATGAAGGTGATACAGACAATGCCCATTTAAAACCCATATCCCAGGTCAAAAATTACAAATAAAATCAAAAAGAGCAGTGTTCTGTTGTATACACTTCTGCATGAATAACTTTATTAATTGCTAATGAAATGTAGAACTTTTCTGGGATCTTCTGGCAAGAATTTTATTTTAATCTTAAAATGCTTTATCTTTTCAGTGAAGCCATCTTTGGAGTTAGTCATTCCTCTCAACGTATGTCATCATGACTCCAACCTGATATTTCTCTTCTTTTGGTCAAGACCCTCAGATTTTAAAAGTATCTTCAAGTTAAGGAAAGGTCATTTTTCTACAGTTCAGTTCTCTGAAAAACTTCCTTCTCCCACTGAAAGTCATAATCCAGGAGTGAAGCAATCACATGATAGAACTTCAGGGCCAATTGGAAAGTCATCTTGAACACCTGCATTGGTCAATCTTATTTATCCCACCAGCCTGAAAATGCACAGTCCTGGAAAAGGCGACTGACCCTGTACACACATGTAATTTTGTTTTAGAAGAAGAGGGCAATGTGAAGGGGCCTGAGGCTCAATCACCAAAACAGCACAAAGAAAACAAACGATAATGAATAATGAGCACTAGAATCCAAAATACCAGATGTTTTAAGAGAGGTGCCAGTTTTCAATTTCGTTTTGAACACCACATTACAAAAGAACTATTTTAAAAAATAAGAAAGGATTAAGGGAAAATAAAATATTAAAAGAATATCTAAACTGTTGAATGACCCCCCGTTTGTTCCTGATAAACTTCAATCACATCTTCTTCCTCCATTCCCAGTTCTTTTGGACTGTGATTATCAGCAATACTCTGACCTTCAGAGAGAAACCTGAGTGAATTCATTGGAACTCCCTGTCTTTGACAATATGATACTTTGAGTTTCTTGAGATGTGTTGTCATTTTCACCTTGAAGTGAATCTCACTGCTATCCTGTCCAATGACTTTGAATTTGATGTATTCTCCTTCTTTCTTATCTCCCAAATCCTCAGTCAAAGGTTTTGCCTCCTGGTCAGACATGGTGGCAGGGGCTTCACCCTGATGGTCTCCACACAGCAGCGACTTCGGCAGGCAGAATCTCGCTCCGGGGTTTACAAATCCATCTATCTTCCCCCTAATACTGTTTTTCAATATTTCTCTTCTACCCCATAGATTGTTGCATAGTGCCTAGGATCTCAAAATCTTTCAAGAGGCCATCTAGGCTACAATAGGTCTCCATTCACCTGGAGTAGCAGAAGAAAAAGGAGAGTAAAGAATCAGAGAAGGAAATGCTGTCTCCATGGACATCAGCCTCTTTTCTGAGACCAGAAAAACTGAATGGTGCCCAGCTCTCATTATTAAACAATTTGATCTTAGATTGTGTAGAAGAATCTTGATCAAAAGAGAGGGGGACTGAGCAGAATTTCAGATACTCAATGGAATCCAGACTTTCTGGAGTTAATGAGACTGGATAAACACCAGAAACTAATGAGACAATCTCTCAACCTCAAACATCAAACCAAAACTGTTCTTGGAAGTCTGCTTTGAACCAAACAACAGTTTAGCTCAATTAGTTAAATGTGTCTGCCTTGAGCATTACACTCTCAAAGATTTATCTATGTGGGATAAAATTGACAACATCATCCCAAAAGGTTAACTGAAGATTTTAGAGGGCAGTGCCTTTAGGTTAATTGTGGTAGAATTATTTCGAAAAGGATAGAATGATTACACAACTTTAAGAATATAAACAATATCATTGAATTGTATATGAGAATTTATTGAAAGGAGGTATTCTTTGCTGTGAAAATCTTCACAAAAAATAAAATTTGGTGGACTTCCGGTAAGATGGTGGAATAGGGAGAAAGACTGCATAGACCCTCTTCAGCAAAGAAAAGGGGAACCAATTAACACAGACACAGAAGATAATCCTGGACCCTTGAGCCTTGAAGGGAAGGATATGGAAGTGGACTAAAACCCAACTAGTAGTGGAATTTGCATGAAAATACTAAAAAAGGAGACATACGGAGCTGCGGTCTGACAGCGATCCTGAGCAAGCCTGACGGCATGGCACAGACAGCTTGCAGAGTGTCGAGTGGTGGTAGAACCTAAGAATTAATCTAAAAATCAGCTCTGCTAGCCAGGGACTACACAGAGGACTGCTCTGGTGGCTGGGGATTAAAACGCGAAGCGTCAGTGAAGAGAAAGGCAGGCTGAGCTGGACTTTTGCCTATCTGGAGGACACTGCCATTTTGAATGTTTACAAGAGGCTTAATCCAAAAATTTTGGATATTTAAAGAAACAGTGCTCTCTGAGATTCCAGGGGCTTAAGAACAGGTTCTGCTTGCCCTTAACCCCAAGGACACTCCGGACCTGGATGACTGAAAAGGTGCGGCATTCCCCTTGTTATTCTTATACCCTACACCCCTTGGTAAATGGAGGTGTGGCCATCCCACACTCCCACCCACCTTCTGGGCCTGCAGGAACTCCATCCCAGTCTGTGTGCTCAGGCAGAGCCTGGGTGCCCTGCCCTACCCTCCCCTGACTTTTTTTTCTTTCTTTTATCTGGCTTTTAGTTTGCTTGTTTTTGTCTGTTTTAAAACTACTATTATTATTAATACATTTGTCCTTTTTACTATTATTCTTTATTCTTCCCCTTGTAGGTCCTAGTTTTCAGCTCTTTTTCTTTTCCCTGTTTATAGTTGCAAATTGTTTTTCTTTTTTTTTTTTCTCATGGTTAACCCCATTCCTTGTTTTTCTTTTTGTATTTTTCCCATTTTTTTCTTCATTATTCTCCTCCTCTACCTTTTTTCTCTTATTTCCCTATACCCAGATATTGCAGGCTTTCTGGTTTTTCTCTTCTTCTTTTTCCCTTTTTCTTTTTTTGGCTACTGTTCCTGTGTAATTACATGGTGTACTTTTTGTCCATGTACTTTTAGTTTTTGATGGTTATTCAGTTGTAATTTTTATCTAATTGCGTGGAAGACAGCAGCAGTCCTCATAAGACACAACAACACCCACACCTCCCGCAACTTGACTTACCGACCGAGAGCCACCACCTCCTTCTCCACCAATGGGCCAATGATTAAAAAAAAAAAAACACCAACAAGAGCCTGAATCATCTTTGGCTGCTCTTCACAAACAGTTATCAGAGATCTTAATACAACAATGCCACAATGTCTCAGAGACAACAGATCATCACAGTCCACACAAATAAGCAAGATAAAGTGGTAGAAACAAGGAAACAGGATACAGATCCAGAACACACCCCTGAGAAAGAAGCAGCATTGGAATTCTTTGATAAGGAATTCTAAAGAATTATATTTAGATATCTTCAAAGGATTGAGAGACAGACCAAAACACAGAAAAAACCCTAGAGGAATTTTGGAAGAAAATACAAGAACAAAATGACACAATAAGTGAAAAAGTAGAAATGATTCTAAATCTACAGATAAAAATCCACAAAATTAATACTAAATTGTCAGAAATAGATAACACATTGGAAGGGCAAAGTGCAATGGAAGACAGAATTAATGAGATTGAAGACAAATACCTGAATACTTCTTTGGAAAGGGATCAATCAGAAAAGAAATCAAAACAAAACGAAGAAAGTCTAAGGTTCATGTGGGATGCCATAAAAAGGAATAATCTATGTGTCACTGGAATTCCAGAACAGGAAGAGAAAAATAATAGCACTGAGAAAACTGTCTGAGATCTGTTGGAGGAGAACTTCTCTGACATGATGAAAGATAAGAATACATCCATGCAGGATGTCCAATGAACCCCAAACAGGATAGATCCCAAAAGAAAATCACTAAGACATATCATCATCAAACTCACCAAAACCAAAGACAAATACAGAATCCTGAAAGCAGCATGGGAAAAACAAAAAGTTACTTACAAAGGACAGCCAGTAAGAATAAGCTCTGTTTTCTCTGCAGAAACCATGAAAGC